CAATGGCCCCCAAAGAGGTCTATGTCCTAATCCCCAAAACCTATGAATGTTACCTTACATGACAACAGGGACTTTGCAGATGGGATTAAATTAAGGATCTTGAGATGGGAATTACCTAGGTGGGTCCAGTGTAATCACAAGGATCCTTGTAAGAGTGAGGCAATTCAGATCCCATTACAAGAAGGAAAAAAAAAAAAAAGAGTGAGGCAGAAGGGCCAGAGTCAGGGAGGGGAAGCGGAGAGAGATTGGAGATGCAATGCTTCTGGTTCTGAAGGTGTAGGAAGAGGCCATGAGCCAAGGAATGCAGATGGCCAAGGCAGCCTCGAGAAACTAGAATAGGCAAAGAAACAGAATCTCCCTTACACCCTACAGAAGGAACATGACCCTGTAGACACCTTGATTTTAGGACTTCTTACCTCTAGAACTGTAAAGAGAATAAGTCTGTATTGTCACTAAGTGGTAATCTGTAACAGTAGCAATAGGAAACTGATACACCACCATACTATATGACCATTTAATCTCTAAAATATTTGGATTCACCTTTAATAGAAAACACAGGAAAACTATATTCCAGGCCTTGCTACAGAGCACAGCTTCAGTCTGAGGTCCAGATCTTTTACCAAAAGCAAGACCAAATGAAGTGCTATTTATGAGGCATAGAGCCCTCTGTACTGCAGTCCTCCAAATGCCTATACCCCAGCTGCTCACTTGGACCACGTCTCCTTCCCAAAACTGTTTTCTCTAAGCTGCATATCCCACTTTCTATCCATTGATAGTACAAAATGTGAAAAATGGGGATATCAGTCACAAAGGTAACTACCATTTTCTGGTTACTTACTACATCACAGACATTGTCCAAGTACTCTGCACATATGCTCTCATTCAATTTTCATTACAGCCTCTGTGAAGGGAACCATGAGTATCCCCACTTCACAGAAGCAGCCCAGGCACAACATCCTGTGCCCTTTACCACTATCTACTGCTTCATGGTGGCACACTTACCTCATAAGACTGTTGTAAGGATTGAATGAGCTGATCCACGTAAAGCATTGAGAACATACAGCAAAAGTTAAAAGCTATTACTTAATTTGTGGGGGGGGCTACGACAGCCCTCCGACTGCTGCAAGGATACCACTGAGTACATGACAAGGCAGTGAAGGGAAAGAGGAGCATGTCCTGCAATTACGAAACCAGGTAAATCGCTTCACATCCCCAAGCCCCAGATTCGAGTGTAAAATATAAGTAATAATAGCACCTACATCTTAAAGGTTTTCCATGAGAACTAATGAGACTGTGCATATTAAGCATTTAGCCCAATAGCTGTCAGCTGTCCTTATCGTTGCCGTTGTTCTCCAGCAAATCACCCAATTTCTCCTCTGTGGAGAAGCTCGTTCAGGGTTCAGTGTCAGTAAAAAGCCTTTGCACTTTGAAATATCTTCCTAAGGCAAACGAAGGCCACACACCCAATCGCGTTGACATTTAGCTCGGTTTCACTGCTCTCCACCAGCGAATCTGCAGGGTCCCGACCCTCCGTTCCCTCCTCCCTGACTCTTCCCTCCACCCTGACTCTACCTATTGCACACACTGTGTGGAAGACCCGAGGAGAAGCGTAAACGTATCTGAAGAAAGAATAGCAATAGCGTGAAAAGCAAGGATGAACCCCTGCTGACGAAAAACCACTTGAGTGGCCAGTTGCGCGACCCACCCTTATGACCACTGGAGCAAGTGTCCCGCCTCGCAAGGAACCGAGCGGCGCACGTGCGAGCGACCCGCGCGCTGCGGGAGACAAGAGAAGGCGGAGGAGACGCCTCGCTGCTAACCCGCCCGGACTCTGGGGAGGCGCCAAGCCCCTC